AGAACATCAGATTTAGAATATCAGTCTATTCCAGTTAACATTTCTTAAAAAAACTCTGAAGTTCTGTGAAACTCAGTCATAGCATTGCCTTCATTAAAAGACACTAATGTTGAAAACATGGTTATCCTTTTTATATCCCATTAATTCTTTATAATTCCTGAATTTGGTATTTTCTAAGCACTCTCTAATCCTTCTCATTGTTTCTCTCTATGTTTATATGTGTGTGTTAGGAAAGACCCAATTAATATCCCCAAATCTGATGATTAGATCAGTAATTTTCAATGCATTTCCTTAATTTTAGCATCATCCATGTTAATAGGGTTTTCATTACTTAACAATTTTAGATAACTTTTACTATTTTTTATTAAACATTGTTTAAAGTTAACGAGCTTAGCCATTTTAAAAATATATTGATTTCATCTACTTTCCAAGTTATTTATGGGTCCACTTTCACGCTAGTTCTTCTTTTCACCTGATAGAATTATAAAAGCTCTCATTATTCTACTTACCCCCTTTTAACCAGCATTAACTCATCCTGTTTTATTTTCCTTTTGCCCTTCCTGGGGCTTTAAGAACTTAAATTTTTATATTTGATACACTAGATAGGCTTTTGTCTTTTATTCCTTTTTATTGTCCATTTCCATAGTGTATTCTTTTTTACCTTCATAATCTTTAAGCAATCCCCTGTGAAGCACCATTTGTAACTATTGCTGACAACTCCACCTTCATATATTTCCATCTCAATCGTGGAACTTCTCAGAACAGTTTAATTTTCATGCACGTCCTATTCCATAGCATGGCCCCATTTTGCTGGTGCACATTATAGGCACCTTTCATTCATGGAGCTTATATACAAATGTCAATAAAGCATTTGATAGCACACATTCAATAGCACACACTGAAAAATGAAGGCTTAGAAAAAAATAAGGCACCAGGTGTCTGACTCTTTAGATCCTCTTGCTCCCAAATTTCCATCCTAATGCAACTAAGCAAGTAGTGTGTTGGTTTTCATATTTCCTTTTTATCAGAAAGTGGAAAATGAAATTTGCTGCCTGGGTCCTCAAATTTTTTGACTGGTTCTTTGGCAGGTCTCTAGTTTCAGACCATCTTAGGTTAAAATAAATTTAATGAGATGAAGCTTATTTAACAAGCTGATCATTTCCATTAATATTTGTATTATTGGGTGAATCTAAGTAGGAAATCACTCTTTATACCCTACTAGCAAAAGAGATTTTAAAATAGCAAATATGAAGCAAAGATAATGAAATCAGGAGAATAAATGAAGGTAGTATCAAATATAAAATTGAGATTAAAAGCAAACTTCTTTCTTGTAAAGGTTACCTGTGTTGTAAATAACCTTTATAAGTTATGACACTTAACACAGTTGGTACTTATTATGTTAACTATACATTTCTAATTTTATAACAAATTTCAATTAAGATCATAGGTGATATTTCTTCAAATAAGTTGGCTAAAAGTAGTACTTCTTCATGACTAGCCAAAAAGGTTATGGGTTAGATATGTAAAAAAACATATCTAAACTTACAAAAAGAAATATAAATGTATGAAAATTTAGAGGCAATTCTGGAATTAATCAGATGTTCCTAATACATCTCTTACTGGCATGTAACAAAGTAGGAACATTTATTCTTTCAGGTCCATAAACTATCTCTGCCAATAACTTATCAATAATGCCAGAAGTGCTACGCAGCAAAATATGGCCATTTGCTAATCTTCCCAAATGCCATTTTCTGGAATAATATGGATGAATATAAAAATCAAGGAAGATGCAATATTAGTCTCAGAGAAAATGGGGAAGGAATTATGATGTAACAAAAATCAAGTAATTGGTACTTTGATAAGTGACATGACTGCTTAATTGGTTCAGTTAGCAGACTGAAGAGATCCAGTTTAATGTGTTTTAATAACAATGGATAACTGACACATCTAATCTTTAATTACACCTGCCCCCTGACTACCTTACAGGGATGTTGTGAGGACAAATTAGATAAAATATGTGAAGTACGTTGAACTCCTCAGAAAAGTGGTGCTATATAAATTCAAGCCATTTATTAACATTACTATTACTTTGACAGTATGCTGGCCTAGTCTTAATTTCAATATGCTACTATATCACAAAAAAAGTGTGACATTAATATTAAGCAAAAAGCTAAAAGCGTTTGAATCAAAGTTATATTTCCCCTAGAAAATATTAAATAAGTATATTTTTCCAAAGTAGAAATAATTTGGTTTTCTACAGAAATATTGAACAGAATTTCCTTTGTTCATTTTATACCACTTGGAGTTTAATGTCTATAAAACAAATTACTTTTTTACTCCCTCCAAATTTACTGGAAAAAAAAATTCAACCTGTGAAACCGTTTTATAGTGATAAAGACGGGTTTCAAACATTTTGAGCTTGGCAAAAGTGGAAAACAAAGCAGCAATCTGCTTCAGACCCAGCAGAGCAGTTATAATAACTGACTACGCAAAAATAAATAGAGATAGCATAGTAATGTTCAAGAAAAAAACTAATATGCTATTTATCTTTTTGCCAGAAAAACATCATTTTTGATAAATACAGATATACATATAAGCTTATTTTCTGAGTGGAAAATATTTTAAGATCAGGAACAGAATACCACCTTTGATAATCAGAGCAGAAATCCTCAATGAAGGCATAAACTGGAGTATTGAAAAAAATCTTCCTGAGAACTGTTCATATTTGTAATCTTAACATGGGGTCCTTGTTCAAACATATTCTACCAAGATTTGACCTATCTGCAAGAACTCGATCTGTTTGGAATCTTTTTCTCCCACTTGACAAGAGAGAAAAAAAATGAACTGTTTTTATATTTAATCGTATCATCCGTGACTACTGAGGTCAATTAGAAGCTCCTGGACAAATCTCTAAATAAGGAAATAAGTCGACAATATTTTAACACCAGGCAATTAATCTGAATTTACAAAGGATGAGAAACCATTTGTTGTCTTAATTATTTCCCAAGCAAAATATATAGAAAGGCCACCCACAAAAATTATTCTCATGCCATAATGACAAAATTATTTTATCCATCTAATATATATGTGTATTTTGGTTGTACAAAAAAAGAACAAGGAGGAAATTTATGATACTATATTGATAATCCCAGAAGATTTGATGGGTTGAATCTAATTATTCCCAAATAGGACATCATTTCATGGTTCTATAAGGACCAGGACCCCAAATTGCTGACAACAGACATAAGTTCTTTATTTTGATAAGTCCCAATGAACTTGACATTGATGGGAATTCTCTGTCTTCTGATGCCCTAGTGGCATAGTGGCGGAAGGGTGATTAAGAAAGGCTAAGAGAAGCAAAAGAAAAAAAAAAAGAAAAGGGGGCAGCTAGGTGGCGCAGTGAATAGAGCTCTGGCCTTGGAGTCAGGAGGACCTGAATTCAAATCCAGCCTCAGACACTTGACACTTACTAGCTGTGTGACTCTGGGCAAGTCACTTAACTCCAAAAGCAGAGAGGAAGAGAAATAGACTTGACCCCTGGAGAATGTCATTATTTTCGATCTAAGATTAGGAGATCAAAGAATACTGGAAGAGTTAGACCCATTCCTATCCAAGAACATTAAAATCTCAGAGTTAGAAAGGAGCTCAAAGGTCATCTCTGAAGTAGGAATCCCAGCTGCAACAGCTCCAACAAGCTGTCAGCTAATGTTTTCTTGAATAACTCCAGGAATGAGCAAATTCACTGCTTTCAGAAACGTCCCCCTTTTCTTTGGGCGTAAATGTTAGGTAACTATTCTTTCCAAGTGAAATCTAGAGCTTTGAAATTTCTATCCATTACAGCTAGCTCTGCTCTCTGAGACCAAGTAAGAGAAGTGTAATTCTTTTAAAAATATAACTCGACATTTATTAAACACCTGCTATTTGCAAGACATTATGCTTGGTCTGCCACATGACAATTCAATTCAATTAATCTGTTTAAATAAATATGTTGATTGAATATAGTTGACAGCCTTTCATATAATTGTGTAGCTAGGTGGCATAGTGGATAGAGTGCTAAGCCTCAAGCCAGGAATGAGGTCAAATCTGGCCTCAGATATGTACTAGCTGTGTGACCCTGGGCAAGTCACTTAACCCTGTTTGTCTCCATTTCCTCATCTGTAAAATGAGCTGAAAAAGAGAATGGCCAACCACTCCAGTATCTCTGCCAAGAAAAGACCAAATGGGGTCACAAAGAGTTGGATATGACTGAAAATCACTGAACAACAAAATTGTACATAATTGAAGGCAGCTATGTCTCTCTTATATCTTCTCTTCTGTAAGTTAAATATTTACAACTGCTTCAATTGTATGACAATGCTTCTACTACCGTTATCATGTTGGTGAACCTCCTCTGGACACTCTCTGTTTTGCTGAAATCCATAGGAACCAGAACTGGACTCAGTATGTCAGATGTGATTTGACCAGGGACTAGTACAGTGGAATTCACTTCCTTTATTCTGGATACTGGATTTGGAGTCAGACACAAAGATGTTTGAATCCTGACTCAGACACTTACTAGCCTGAGCCTGTTCAAATCACTTTATCACTTTGGGCTTCAGTTTCTTCATCTGTAATATGGGGCTATTAATAGAAATTCAGGATTTTTTGTGGTGATGAAATGACATAATGCACGCAAAGCAATTTGTAAATTTTAAAGCACTATAAAATTGCAAACTGTTGTTATTTGTGAATAACAATATAAATTCCTTGATATGATGAACTGTCTAATATGAATGTTTTTATTCCCAGTACCTAACACACTGTCTGGAACATAGATGGTGCTAAGTATGCATTTTTTTTTATTATCAGTTCAAAACATATTTTAAAAGGTCATATGATCAAAAAAAATTTTAATCATAAGGTCAAGTAGATAAGGAGACTTTTAGAGGAGTCATGGTAACTAGTAGTTTTTATGATATCTACTAGCCCTTACTCCCTGTCCTGTCAAGATAAATGCCAAAACTGCTGAGTCTTATGGTTAACAACATGTAATAGTTATAGCATTAAAGCTCCAATTAAGTCAATATTTGTTTTGGGAATCGCTATGATTTGAACCCTTTCTCTAATTATGGCAAAATCCTGTGTTGGTCTGGAGACTTTCTGACAGCTGCTTAATTCATCTTGAACAAATCCATCTTTTTCCATCTTGATCAGGTATTTTGGCTTTGCAACAATGCATGTGGTGATTTCTGGCAAAAATTGAGCTCAACTGATTGAAAGCCAAACTTCAAGGATGCGAAAGAAGGCAATCTTTCGACCTCATATTTTTGTTATTCTGTACTTTCCTCTTATGTTTCTAGGACTGTATTTTACTATCAAAGCTAAGTGTTTGAAATACAAGTATCTCTCAGCTAAATTTCTTTTGATTGTAGGGTGTCTTTTTTCTATATTTTATATCACTTAGATGTTTTAAAATTTGAATCAATAGAAATGTCAAATATGTAACTGGTTTTCTCTTTCACGGTCAAGACACTAACAATATTTCCTCAAAACAGAAATGAATTTCTCCAGTTTACACCATGTTTCTCAACCAGCATATTGCAACATTTTGATATATTATTTAAACATTGTTTTGTTTGCAATAAAAATATTTCCGTGATATTTGGATACTACCTCCTGTCTTACCAATGTGCCCTCAAAGACTGGGGTTCTCAACCTACGGTCTGTGAATGTGGTTTTTTAAAAAGTATTTTGATAATTGTACTTCAATCTAATTGGTTTTCTTTATAAACTTATGTATTTTATTTTACACATATAAAAACATTATTCCGAGGAGGTCAGTAAACTTCACCAGAATACCAAAGAAATATATCACACACACACACACATGCACGGGTATACACATGCACACATGCACACATGTTAAGAAATCCTGCTTCAAGAAGATGAATTTGTATTAGCATTCCACCTAGACTTATCCCAGAGACAAGAACTAAATAAATGAGTCTAATTCATAGAGGGAAGTAAGAAAGACCATGACCTACTTGTTAAAAGTAACAGATTAGGGAAACAAGGCAATGAGGTAATATCATACCTTAAGAAAACATTTCAACACTAAATATATTGAATGTACAACTACCTGACTTGTAGACAGAGTTCTCAGCGTCACAGAACAAAAGTTATTGAAAAGACAAGAGAAAAAAAGAAAAAAACACTAACTCTTGAACAGGAGTTGGTTCCCAAATTTCCACAAGTTGTCTGCTCAGTACCAGATATGACAGTTCCTCTAGGTAAGACCATCAGTGGGTCATTAGAAAAGCCATGTTGATTCCTCTTACTGTCTTCTGGAGAGCCTTTGCCATTGAGCTCTTACTCTGAAGTTCACATACTTTTTGTCAAGGTAAAGGAGGAGGAAAAAAAAAGCACTTTGATTCTGGGGGAAGTTATTGTTAATATTTTTTTTAAACCCTCAATTTGTCCTTATATGGTAAAGGTTAAAGTTCTCCACTTTTTCAGAAGCCAACAAATCACCTATTTGTCCCTCAATTTCCTCTTCTTAAATGGTTGGGTGAGATTACTCAAATTCCCCAAAGGCTGTCAGAAATCTCTGCTAATTACTAACCATTCCTTCTCCAGAAGGGGGAGCTCTCTTTGACTATACCCATGGCTGATAGTAATTAATCGCCATCAGATACAGGTTAAAAGAAGATGAGAAGATATTAACAGTAGCTCTAGCTATGATGGAGGTCTAATCTCAGTCTGGTACCTCTGCTGAAGTACTCTGTTACAAGAAGAGACAGTCAACAAATTATTTCTTACTCTACCTTCCTAATTTTTTTTTTCAAAAGTCACAAGAAAAGATGCAGGAAAAACAAACATTCTGGTCCTGATTCTGCTGAATAAGAAAGAACTGGTTAATGAAATGGAATGAATGGTAGGAACCACTGCCCTAGACTGCGTGTTCTCACTTGTTACTAATATGAAAAACACTACTGGAAGTGGTGTAAAGTTATTCTCAGTTAAACTTTGTGTTACATGAACGTTTGTGTTATAACCTATCCTAGAAATTAAGAACAAAACAACTGGAGATTGTTCCACAGATGTTAAATTTGTATGAACTTAAATCCATTTGGATTTTATTGGTTCTTTGGGTTACTATCTCTTTTGCCTTTTCAGACCCTATGTTTCTATAGAGTCAATCTTAGACTTGGATCTTGGACATGCTTCCTGACTCTTCTTCCCTATCCACTTGCTTCTTTGTGACAATGTTATCACTTTCTGATTTATAGCCCTGTGCCAGCACATTCTAGCTACCCATTTCATGGACAGTTCTTAACTATATATGGGCCAAATATAAGATGGGACCAGGGAGAAAGTATAATTTTTGTCTTCCTCCTTTTTCCCCTTATCAGACATCTCAAAGCTACACTGCGCATTTTCAACTAGCAGCTATTTTGGAATGAAGCCTAGGATTCAGCAGGAGTTCATATAGCTAGTACCTGAAAAGGCGACCCTTTGTGGGGAGGGTTGCTACCTTGGAGAGGGATGATTCCTGGGTATGGACTGGATAGAGTACTCTGTGGAGAATATGGCAAATTGTTAAGTATCCCAGAAAAACTTACCAGGTGAGCTGCTATTCTCCTGCGGTTATTCACTATTGGTGAATATACATACATACATACATACATACATACATACATACATACATATATATAGTATATGTATATATACACACACGTATATGTGCATATATATGTATATATATTATAGTTATTGACTATACATTACTTTGGAGAGTTCTATGCTGATTGAACAGTAACTTTTTTAGTACTCCCAGCTAACTGGGTGGGCAATCTCCTAGAGATATTCTGACAAGAGAAAGCTTAGTGGCTTTGAGGAACTGCTAAGAAAACCTCATGTCCCGGTTAGATCAGAGTCCTTAAGTCAAAAGATCTGCCAAATCTACTGTTGTTAGATAACAGAATACATTTTGATTTTGAGTCCAGGCCTAGGACCTACTGCGCAATTAGGGAACGAGGGGAAGAGAACAAATATTTATTAAATAAGTACTATGTGCTAGGCACTGTGCTAAGCACTTTACAAATATTATCTCATTTAATCTTTACAACAATTCTGAGTGGCAGGTGCTATTATCATCCCCATTTTATAGTGGAGAACACTGAGGCAGACAGAGGGTAAGTGATCTGCCCAAGGACAGCTATTAAGGTCAAATTTGAACTCAGGTCTTCTAGACTTTAGGAGACCTAGCTCTCTGTCCACTGTACCACTTAGTAACCTAAGTGGAAAGCATCAACTAATCAGCTTTTGGAAAGATGTGCTGAAGATCATTTGGATCGAATAAAAGGCTGATTCCCTTTTGTGGAAGTGACAGGTCACATTAAAAAAACCAAGACCCGCTTTAATGTGCAGCACAGTTAATTGCACAATCCTAAGGCCTGAACCCAGCCAATGGCTCAGCTGTGAACTTCTTACTATATCATAAATCAAGATTCACAGACACTGGTGCTGACAGCACCTAACTACCTTGTGCCCACCTTGCAGCGTTGTTGTGAGGATCAAATGAGATAAGATTTATAAAAAAGTACTTCCAGTATCTTTGCCAAGAAAACCCCCAAAGGGGTCACGAAGACTCAGACACAACTGAAACAGCAGAACAACAGCACAGTGCCCGGCATGTAGTAGGATCCACACAAATGCTTATCCTTTTCTTTTCTCTTCCCTCACTATGAGTTTTTAGAGGAGAAAGAGATAATTTCTGCATAGGAAGATCAGGGTATTTTATGAATAAGGCAATATGTTATATTAAATTATAAATTAAATTAAATATATACACGCATCTCAGTAGACAGAGTGCTAACATTTATGTAATTGTTATGCAGATTCTACCTGGCAAACATTCTAACCTGACAGACTTAAATGAAGGACATCAATAAAGTCAATAACTTTAATAGTAGATATGCATTTAATTTCTGACTATAGGACTTGAAGCTGCTTGGGCTTGTCTTCCATGAAGGGATGAAGGTATGTTAATATTCAACAGTTTATTGAAACAGAATCCCACTTTGTGTTACCCTAATTACCAAATGACTTTGTAGAGCCCCAAGAAAAATCAAGAGCCGTAAATTAAGAAAATACAGAATGGTGCCATATTATGCAACTGTATCCCGCTGTTTGGATCAATGTCACTATCAAATTCTGGTATACAGAAACTCTGGGGCAACAATGGTTTTGCCATTACACATGTGTGTTGCTATGGGCACCAGTGCATAGAAGTCAAACACAAAGGATAGTTGCCAGTGGGGATAAAAGAGGAAAACCTGAAGATAAAAATGGATAGTTTCCAATTAAAATTACCATACCATAATTTTGTTAGTTATCAGGCTAAAGTACATAGCAGCTTAACTGACAAGAGAATGTCCTTTCGGGCACAATTTAACCTAGAGATCTCCGACTTTTTCACATGTGGTGTCCAGATGGTACCCTTTGCTTCATGTTGAGACCAGGAGGCATAAAGGCCATTTCTAAAACAGTGGCAATGATAGCAAGCACAGATCAGAGACACATAGGACCAGCTCTCTTCATGTACTCTATTGAATTGTATTATTGCTGCTAATCCTCCCATATATGCCCAGGCACCTGACACGGAAGAGAAGAGCATGGTATATTCTGGGAATATTGCTAGAGGTCCTGTCATTTTCCAAAAGCAGCTGATTAGATGGCTTAGTCAGGCAAATTGATGGAAAGAGACATAAAGAATATCTTGTAACTAAAATTTTGTGAAGAAAGCAATTGCTTAATAATAAAACATCCACTAAGCTTTTAAGTGTTGGGCTATTTTAAGGTCTCATTAATAATACCTGCCTCTTCCATTTTGTCAGCAGGTATACCTTGAGGAAGGTCACAATGCTAAGGGAATGGAACAGGGCTGAGTTGGGGAGACATTGGAGAAGACCAAATAAAAAACAAAATTGTAATCAGTCACCTTCCTAGGGAAAGATGATCTCTCCTTTTGTGCCTAGGATGAATTTTGCATCAAGCTTCACTACCTAAGGGATGCTGACAGACAGAGATGACAGAGGTGAAAGTAAAGGCAGTCGGGGAATGGAGTGAAACAAGCTTGGAAAAGAAAGACCAAACCCTAGGTGTTCAAACTCCAGGCTTTCAGGATTAAAACAAACACTTTATAAAAGCCT